ATAGTATTAAAGTTCATTTTTTGTAATGTTTTGGTTTTTTTTTATTATTTGTCATTGACCATGTCTGATAATAGATTTGTAACTGAAAAAAGTAATTTAGATATTATAGTATTAAGTGAAATATATGAAATAATATACTACTTTTTGATGTTATATGTAATTCGACCCTAATGATAACTAGCAAATTCTAGTATTTTCTTGAATATTTAGGCTGATATTAGATTATAAATAATACAGTAAATAAGAGACAATGGCGAAATCATATTATTTTGTCTTTTCTAAATATCACTTTTAAATTATTGGTTAAATCTAAATATTACAAGGTAATAAATTTTAAGGGAGGTTAATATAATTTTCAAAAATTATAGGAAGGTCAGTGAAATAATTAGAACCAGGGAAGGTTTCTGAAATTATTCCTCGTTTAAAAGAACTGTTTCCCGATGACAAGTTTTGGTGGCATTCGCATGACGGCGTTAGCTAAACATTTGTCATGGACCAACTAATATTAATGGATGTCGATATATAACCCTTAATTAAAATATCTTTTTTTCTTTTTAAATTGTTCTAAGGGGTGTTCCAGAACGCTTGCTAAATTACATTTAATACACATATTCAAATTTGCTGTGCCTCTACATTTAAAAACTTTTTCCAATTAGTTTCACCCATGCCCCCAAAAAAAAAAAAAAAAAAAAAAAAAACACTCGAGGGCTGTCATTCGAGGTGAAATTTTTGCAGCTTAGGCCAATAGTACCAATATATAATTATTATAAAAATAGCTCTGCAAAGGTTCCATTCGAGGGCCAGGAAGAAAGACGGAACAGAATTGATATCCAGTCTTCTTGTAAATCGATTGTACCAGGGCAAGCGCAAAACTCAGATGGAGAGGCAGGCAGCAGCACTCGAAGAGGAAATTTTTAGTTCGAGTTCTCTATTTCCTTTTTTTGCGGCTAAAAGAGGCACTGAAGAAGGTTGAGACTTGGTAGTTGCCGAGGCTACTGTAAAAGCTTTTCGAGCTCTAATAAAATCCTATCGTTCCAGAGTCCAGACCAAAGGGCAAAAAAAAAAAAAAAGACAAAAAATCTCAGCCGCCGTGCAGTTGCTGCTGCCTAGAATCTGATCCAGGATCATAGACTTGATCCCAAACCCAGTAGTCTAATTGTGAATTGAAATAATCGCTGAATACCAGGTTGGCTACCTGCTCAAACGCAAATTCAATTAACAGGATAATGCTTGCTGCTGAACCTGAAGGCATATATTCTTGTTCCGCAATGAACAAACTTCTGAAACCACAATGCAAATGTAATTTACTGATTAACGTAGATGAGATTCAAGAAAAAACCAATCATGAATCAAGTGTTGAACAGAAAAATCACAAACTTAAAAGAGTAGTAGGACGATACAAAAGAATCAGGGCGGGGATAAACCAGCAGCACTATAATGCTGGAGTAAATTGAGCTTGCAAATCCAAAGTAACGGTAGAAGAGAAGATGACGATGAAAAGAGCCTATTCTATTCTAGTAGGGAGGAGGGGCGTTGAAGCCTAAGAAGGGCCTCTTCATGGAGGAGCCGCCGCATGAGGAGGCGGCAGCGGGATCACAGGCATGCAGGGTGTCCTCCAACTTGTGAAAACCATGCTTGAAAACTCCAAATCCAAACAAGAATCCGATGACTATCACCGCCAAAATCAGGCATGTGCAGAACATGCAAATTCTGGCCCCACAACACATGTCGGATCTCGATTCGGGACAACCTTAATTCTCCAGAATCCTGATAGATGGTCTAATGTTGTTTGCTTTTTCGGATAAATGATACTCCAGAATCCTGATAGCAGCCTGGGAAGTCGAGAAAACAGAGGGGTATGTTGGAGTTTGGGAAGGAAGGATGGCAAAGTCTGGTGAGCGTTCAAGAAAGAGTTGGGTTGGGCTCCTTTTTGATAGGTGAGGAGGCAGACGATAGATAGATAGATAGATTTGTCCTATGAAGCGGTTACTCTACGCATTCTGTCCGTTAAGCAAATTAAATCGTGCACAACTCCACCTTACCATCCTTGATTGCCCTCTCCCGTCAGAGATGTTCCCCATATTCATCCCCTTCTCTTACTTGAAGGAAGAATGGATGAAATTTAAGAAGTAATTATTCGTAACTTATTTCTTCTTTTCGCGGGTTAGTTCATCCATAAATTGCGATTGTAGCAATGCACCCCCTGGTTTATGAGAAACTGCAGATATATTTCTTTGTCAGTTGCAATTTTTGTGTTATACTTTACCAAAAACCTGTAGCTGCAGCTGAATTTGGACAAGTCTACCTTCAAAAGTTACGATATATATATGTGTGTGTGTGTTTTGGACACCTTTAAAAAGGATTCCACAGTTCTCGGGCCCCTTTATGATTCTAAGTCCACGTCTTAAAGCATGGTGAATTTGTAATTCTTATTACTTAATAAACTGGAAATTCTTCTAAAAAATAAATGGGTTATACCATCACAAGGGGAAAATGGTTAATTCAGTCCTCAAACGTCTATTCTCCATCCTTCAAAATAAAACCGTGACCCATTGACATGTGACTATTGTCCCACCCTACCAAATACTAAACAGGGGGAACATATGAAGTGGACTCCTGTCCGCCGAACCTGATATTATCCTCAGCGCAACCAGCATGAATGATTTTAATGAGATAAGGGGTAAAAAATATATATATATAGAAAACCATATAAAGCTCTGTTAGCATTTTCCTATCCCCCAATCTACTATCTTCTATAAATATTAATGTCCACCGCAATATTCATCAATCAACAAATATAAGATACTCCCTCCGTTCTATTGAAAGTTTTATATATATATTTTTTTTTTGCTGTTCTAAAATATTTGTTATGTTTGACATTTCTAACTATTTTATACTCTGAAATTTTCCTTATACCCTTCATTAATGATACATAAAGACAAATGTGATGAGATTACTTTCTACTTTTTACTTTGACCAGCACATGATTAAGAGTAAAAGTAAAACAGAAGGAAAAACTTTTTGATAGAGTATGCTATGTATAAAAATCCATATTTTCAAACATGACTAAATATATGAGATGAAGAGAGTACAAGATACGGATTTAGAATATAAATGTGTGATCTAATAAGGCATTAGTCTTAGTGACTAAGGATTTAAGAGTTGCATTCAAGGGTTAAGAGTTATAATTCTCGTCACTATGAGTTGGTTGCAATGTTATCCAAAAGAGAAAAATAAAAAGAATTCAGCCCTTTTAAATATTGAATCTGTGAATTCAGCCCTTTTAAATTTTGAAGACTTCAGATGGAACTAAATGTTCGGCCCCATTAAGGAAGGTTAATGTGGGCCGTAGACAAACATTGATCCTGGATGCTCCAGAGAAAATAGACTTATAATTCTCGTCACTATGAGTTGGTGGTGATATTATCCAAAAGAGAAAAATAAAAAGAATTCAGCCCTTTTAAAGATTGAATCTGTGAATTCAGCCCTTTTAAATTTTGAAGACTTGAGATGGAACTAAATGTTGGGCCCTATTAACGAAGGTTAATGTGGGCCGTAGACAAACATTGATCCTGGATGGTCCAGAGAAAATAGACCCTAACCGTGTAAATGAGAAGGGACACTGTTGGCCCAAGTTGGAATCGACTGTTATGGGTTTGGCCTTGTATTAGTCCCTAACAACAAGCTTAGTTGGTAGGGATACTAACAAAAGTCTGAGGCTCTTGGTTCCATTCTCAAACTCTCTCATTTCTTCTCTTTCCTCTTCTCGAAAGACCTGTAATCTCCCTTTGGACAAGAGCTTTTTGTTTCATCCGATCCATCCCTTCTAAAAAAAAAAAAAAAGGCCATTCTTGTTTCATCAAAAATCCACATATTGTTGCCGATAAGGCTTACTCTCCATCCTTTATCTGCTTTTTAAATTTCATCCATTCCCTGTTAAAAAAAAATCCATAAATTGGAGTAGAAAATGAGGAGAATATTTCATTTTTCATGTGTAAGTTTTTTTACTTTAATGTGTACCTTTTAGAAAATATGCTAATTCGATGTAGTTAAAGCGTCTTGCTCGGTCATCTTTTATGTGTATGATGATGATAGTACTGACAAGTGTGCCATATAATAGTAATACACTCCAAAGATAAAAGAGGACGATAAAATAAAAGATGGAATTTAGTAACACGGGTAAATTTGTGCTAAAACATGAATAAAACTCCTAGTACCCTAAATAACATATAACATCACAAGCTTATGTCTTTTGCATGGCCAAGTTTGGTGGAGTATTTGATTTGATAGCAATTCAATTTGTAAGCGGTAATTTATTTCGTGCAAGATTTAAAAATCCATTAAAGCATTGAGGGTTGGATAAAAGGCTACTCTTTAATCGTGTAGGTGCATCACAAAAAAAAAAAATGGTTGCCTACTTAATCTATCCAACATTGCCATGCATGGTCCTCATGGGATGATCCAGCAGTAAGCGGACTTTTAAGAACTCTTGTGATCTTGAATTCGAATTTTACCCTAAACTTGAACCTCCGTGACTTGTTTGAGGTCGCTGCGTGGGGCCGTGGTGCATTCCTGCGATTTGATGTGCCGGCTCGGGTCCTAAGGATTCGAGTTAGGGTATGTTCCAGATTACCAAAAAAAAAAAAAAAATTGCCATGCATGGAGAGTGCTTCAAATGAAGGAAAAGGAATACCAGAAACAAACGCTAAATTGTCCACAAATAATTTTCAATTTTTTTTATCTCATATACATTATTCATAGGAATATTATATTATGAAAAATACTACTATACATATTACTATTCTATTTTTTTTTTCAAAACAATCTCATATCCAAATACGCTCGAAATAAGAATAGATCTCCAAAGAGAGACAAATTCCGGCAAACAATAATAATAATAATAATAAAAGAAAACCTAGTTGCCTTATTACCCGCATCCATCTTCTTCTCTCATGTATGCTACAGTGTAGTAGACTCGCAGTGTATTTTGGTCTCCCCAAAGTCTCCAAAATCCCATAATAATACTCAAATCCCGTCCGTCCCACCACCACAGTTGAAACTGAGAGAGAAAAAAAGACCCACCCCCGCATCCATCTGGGCCTCTGGTCCCTCCCCCTCCCTCACTCCCTTCTTGTCTTCTGCTCAATCGGATCTTAAATCTCCATAACTCCGCTTCCTTCTTCTATACTGTGGAATCACACACACGCACACACACACACACACATACACATAATTATATATTGGACTCCGTATATATTTTACGCAGCAGAACATTTTTTTGCAATATTTTCTCAGATCTCAGTAATCTGGAACTATTGGGATTGTGAGATTAGGAGTAACTATAATTGGATAGATGGCTTCCCCTGGCAATCCAAATCAACCAGGTGGAGGACCATTTGATATGCATAAATTCTTCAAGCCCTCTTCACCGTCATCTGCTGCTGCTGCTGCTGCTGTTGTCCCCAACCCTACATCTTCTACTCCTACTCCTCCTCCTTCTTCTTCCCCCAATCCCCAAAACCCTAATAACCCTAATTTGATTTCTGGCCCATTCCCACCTCCTTCCGCCTCTTATCCACCTCCTACTGGTGGCGCCCCTGGTGGGGCCTACTCCTACGCTCCTCAGACCTCGCCTTTCCACCACCATCCTCCGCCCCAATTTCACCACCACCACCACCATCTTCCCCAATTTAGTAACAGTGGTTCTAATCCTCCACAACTTCAGCCGGATCCCTCCTCTCAGTTTACTAGTAATTTGCACCAGCAGAGGTCCATGTCCTTTCCTACACCCCCGCTTCAGCCTCCTCTTTCTGGCCCTCTCCATCACCAGTTCCCCCAAAATCCCGGTAATAATAACAATAATGTTGGCAACAGCAGTGGGAGTAATGCCACTAACCAGAATCCAGGGGCGAGGCTGATGGCTTTGTTGAGTGCTCCGCCTTCTACCCTCGAAATCCCGCCACAACCAGCCATGCCAATGCCTCCCATTCAGCCTACTAACTCTGGGGGATCAGATTTTTCCAACCCCCAAAGTTTGCCCATGATGGGTTCTGGCCCGAATGTGGGTTTTCCCCATCCGGGGCCAATGCGGATGCCGAGCAGTAAGCTGCCAAAGGGGCGGCATTTGATAGGTGATCACGTGGTTTATGACATTGATGTTAGGTTGCCGGGTGAGGTGCAGCCTCAGCTCGAGGTTACTCCAATTACCAAGTATGGTTCAGACCCTGGTCTGGTTCTTGGAAGGCAGATTGCGGTGAATAAGACTTACATTTGCTATGGACTCAAATTAGGAGCCATTCGGGTTCTCAATATCAATACGGCATTGAGATCCTTACTTAAGGGCCTTGCCCAGGTTAGCCTAATTGCTTTGCTTGATCTATATCTGTCTTGATTATGCATTTGTTGAGTTTCACATCCCTGGATATGATCATGGTGAACTTAGAGATAGGATTTTGGGAGTAATATGCAATAAGTGTGAATTAACTTCTTGGCTTGAATGTTCTGTGGTGGTACTTGGATGAACTTTTGTTGTCTTATGGATTGCATGGGATGATATCCAGTGAGAGTGAGTAAAATTGTAGATTCAAGGATAATTACCAAAGAAACTACTCTAGACTCCTTGTATACACTCTGATTATAGTGATGCTGTTGGGTTTTCTTGTATGTATTGCGGTAAGTAGAATTGGAATACATACGGTATATTTTGGTGTGGACATGGGAATGGCAATATCAAGAGTCGTGTCATGTTCGAATTTTCTTTCCCAATTCTAAGGGAAGCATACTCTGGGGCTTGCTATAAACGGTAATGCTCTTGACACTAGGAATTTAGGTATTGGCTTTTAGTTGGGACCCAGTTGAATTTCAAGATCTCACAGCCACTAGGGGCATAAGAAGTGTAATTAAGACTGCTGCTTGTTGTTCTTTCTGTCTTCTTTTTTTTTGGTTTTTTTTAGGGGTTGGGGGGGGGAACGGGTTGGAATGCCATGCGGTTTGGTACTTTCCATCTATTATTATATTAATTTTTCCCACCTCCATCTTACGCGCTGGCAGTTTCAGGCGTCACAGGATAGCAGGAGTGATATTAAGTCGAGTCAAGCTCGAGTATCGTCATACTTGAGCTCGAACTCGATGCCTAGTAGCAATACTCGAGCTCGAGCAAGTTGTTTGAACAAAGCTCGAGCTCGACTCGATGTAATATTGGGCAGGCTCGAACTCGACTCAATAGAATTCGAGAAGTTGGCAAGCTCAATATTGAGCTTTAGTACTCGAGCTCGACAAATGGTTAGGGTTGTAAATATTGCAAATAATCAACCTAAAAAGGTGATTTAATTATTTATAATATATTAATTAAATATTATGCCAAGTACTCGATAGAGCTTATTGAACTCTCGAATATATGATATACATACTCGAGCTTGACTCAAAACCTCAATCGAGTAGCTTGAGCTTGACTCGAACTTGCTTGATTAAATTGCGCCCCTTAAATGTGAATAATTTATTTTTTTCCACGGTCCAACAAAACCATCAAGGCGACAATCGCAATGTATCCTGGCTTGTCCTTTACCTTTTCTTTGGCAGACGTTGAAAGAATTGAAATCAGGGAATGTGCTATTCATATCTGTTTGTGCAGTATAACCAGTTCATCCCTTTCGTACAACCCAATTTGAGAGGAACATTGGTTCGTCACTGAAAACTATTCTTAGAATATATGTTGTACCAAACTTTGTTGTTAATGGATTGGAAGTGATAGTTTGATTTCTTTATTGAAATAAGAAGTTCTCAGGTGCAATATATTTTTAAAAAGCGTGTTATCCAGTGCAAGACCCCTCGGGGGATAAATCCGATTTTATGACCTTTCTGGTGTTTATTCATTTTCCTAGACATGACATGTGGCACAAAGGAATTATTATCGACAGCTGTTGGGGTTGAGAGGATAAGAATGATACGCTCAAAAGTCAGACTGAGTAGTCAAACATTTCATCGCTGGTTATCTGAATTTTTTAAGAATATGCTTAAATGGTATTAACTCAACTAAATCTGGGAACATTGTTAATACTATCCTCATTATTAATAATCATGGAGTGGCTAATGCACTCACTGGAATTTCCAAAATATGGAAGTCATTTATGTCAAATGCATTTGTAGCTTTAGTGGTACTCTGAGATTATATATTCACACACACAGACATACCGCGAGTAAGTTTCAGAGATATAAGATATCTTAGTTCTTTATTCTGATGCTTAACCGTGGACTTTCTTTCTTTGTAATACAGTTCATCTTGTTAATAATAGATTTCACGTATCTCTCACATTGATTCCAATTCTTTGCCTGCTACTTCTTAGCATTTATCTGTTCAAAATTTGCTTATTTTATGAAGAGATTACAATTTCCTATATCTTGTTTTCTTCCTGAGAGAGCAAATTATGCAATCTATTAAACTACTTTAGTTATACATGTTATATTATTTATCAGATTTTGGTATGGAGATCTCATTGCATGTGGATAATGCTAATTTGGTCGTCTGTTGCTGTTGTAGAGCGCATTCCTCCAATCGCTGCTTAGTTATTGTGCATTAATTTGTTTCTCTGTTTATTAAACTTATCTAAGTAATGTGCATTGTTTCAGAGGGTCACAGACATGGCTTTCTTTGCTGAGGATGTTCATCTTTTGGCTAGGTAGTATTCTTGTCTGTTTTTATCACTTTCAATCTTCCTTTTGCCTTTGTCATGCTAACGTGCATCTCTACAGTGCAAGCGTAGATGGGCGTGTATATGTTTGGAAGATTACTGAAGGTCCAGATGAGGAAGACAAGCCCCAAATTACTGGAAAGATAGCTATTGCAGTTCAGTTCACCGGAGAAGGTGAATCCGTTCATCCACGAGTCTGTTGGCATTGTCATAAGCAAGTATAAGTCCTTCCAACTTTTCATTTATATCTACTAGTTTTGCTCTGTTTTTCTTTGGGCTTAACTTGTAAAGATAATTACTTTCAGGAAGTTCTTGTTGTTGGCATTGGAAGGCATATCCTGAAGATTGATACCACAAAGGTCGGAAGAGGAGAAGCATGTTCAGCAGAAGAACCACTCAAATGTCCTGTTGATAAGCTGATTGATGGAGTACAACTTGTTGGGAACCATGATGGAGAAATAACCGATCTTTCAATGTGTCAGTGGATGACCACTCGTTTGGTGTCTGCTTCAGTGGATGGCACGGTTCGTGATTATCTTCTTTTCTTTTTGGAATATCTTTTATATGACCTGCAAGATCTTCATCCTTTTGTGGGATAGAGGTTTTTAGATTCGTATGCAGTCAAAGGTGTTGGTATTTACTTGTTATGGTTAAGCTTAGTGTCATACACCTCGTTTGCCTTCCTCTTTCATGTGGTTTCTTCTCTTTTCTGTTTCGGGGTTTTCAGTTTTTCCTTTTATTTTTCTATTTTCATATTTTTTGAGTGGCTTTGTGCAATGACTTGAACCCTTTGGATAAGACGTGTACTCTCAAGTTTTCTACAGTTGGATGCTCCTGCTTCAATAATTTCACTTCCTCCGATGTTAGTGGCGTTTCGTGATCAGTGCATATATGCTTGTACCCTTGGCAATTTATATATCTGGTGATCTAACAATAATCTAATACCATTAGCTTGATTCTTTTAGCGTTTTTTAGCTGAAAAAGGTGCACTCTTAACTGTTAATCTCATTCAAAAAAGTTTTTAGGACCTTTTTTATTGTGGTCACCGGATGGGAAGATTGACAAGTAGCAGAAAATGTGTGAGGTAGTTGATAGAGAGCCACCATTTACAACTGTTATGTGAAGCCCACTGATTTATTTGATTACACCCATTTGGGAATGTTGGACAGTGCTTCCTATGTGCTTAATGTCGTCAAAATTTTGTTTAAATGTTTTTGCTGACTTGAACATATGATTTGTCTTCTAACAGATAAAGATATGGGAAGATCGCAAGATGCTTCCAATTGCTGTGCTGCGGCCACATGATGGTCAGCCGGTTAACTCTGTTACATTCCTTGCTGCCCCACACCGTCCAGATCATATCATACTCATCACAGGGGTGTGTAATTCATAGTTCTCTTTCTTCAAAAATGTCTTAGTTTAAGCATTTAGTTCAGTTATGCTAATCATAATAATTAAAATATGTTCTCTGTGTTTCTCTTTTTACTGAGATTCATAATTACCCAAGTTTGGAATTCATTTAGATTATATGTTAGTCATATTGAAATGCAATATGCTGTCATGCTTGTGTGTTGATTCTCAGTCATCCATCTAACATCTTCATCTAAATTTACTTTGATCCGGCTATGGGTTTCCACTTGAAAGGAAGAGCCAATGTGTCATTTCTGTTGTCTTCTGTGAATTTACAGAATGTGCATTAAATATTAGTATAATCTGAATACTTATTCCTGATCATTCTTTACAACCAAACCTAATGTGGAGCTTGCATGTCCGTTTCCCTTTTTTGGTGGCTCCGTTGGCTTTTTCACCTTTGATGGTTCTTTAATTTACAAGTGATTTCAGAGGTTTCTATACCTGCAGCTACAGAGAGCTAAAGCTTTGTATCAGCGACTACAACTTAAATATGCAACATTATGAAAGCAGACATTTCTTAATCATGAAATGTTATGAAAGTAGACATTTTTTCAAACACAACCTAAAATATCAAGCAGGAAATTCCATCTGTGATATAGGGACTACTATCAAATTTGACTTTGGCTTTAACATTTTTTATCTGGGATTTTCTTGGTTTGTTGATATATTCACTACACTTTTCATTTGAAGCTATTTTTTACCCTATCTGACCTGTGAAAACTGTTAACAGGGTCCCTTAAATAAGGAAATAAAGATATGGGCATCAGCAAGTGAAGAGGGCTGGTTGCTTCCCAGTGATTCTGAATCTTGGCATTGTATTCAGACTTTAGAGTTGAAGAGTTCAGCTGAAGCCCGTATCGAGGAGGCATTCTTTAATCAAGTTGTTGCATTGTCTCAAGCTGGTCTTCTCTTACTAGCAAATGCCAAAAAAAATGCTATATATGCGGTGCACTTGGATTATGGTCCAAACCCAACAGCAACCCGAATGGATTATGTAGCAGAATTTACTGTCACCATGCCAATATTGAGTTTTACTGGGACTAGTGATTTGCTACCTCATGGTGAACAGATTGTTCAGGTGTATTGCGTCCAGACACAGGCTATTCAGCAGTATGCTCTGGAATTATCCCAATGTTTACCACCCCCATTGGATAATGCAATGCTCGACAAAGCAGACTCTATTGTATCTCGTGACGCTCTCAGTAATGATGGATATGTTTCTTCTGAGCTCTCTGAAAGCAGAGCAACCGAAATACCTTTATCTGGTTCTGCCCCAAAGCTCTCCATACGAGACATTGGTTCTGAGAATGCAGCTCCTGTGATACATCCAGTCAGTTCAGTTTCTGTTGAGTCAGTTACCTCACAGGATTTTGTTGCTTCAAGTATGGAATCTAAACCAGTTTCTTTGCCAGCAGTAACTGCTAATGCTGATATTGCTTCCATCCCATCTCCTCCACTTCCTTTGAGTCCTAGGTTGTCTCGTAACCTATCTGGTTTAAGAAGTCCCTTGAAAAGCTTGGACCCAGGGTCCTCATTTAGCGATCGTGGTGGAGATGCAAAAATCATTGAGTATTCAGTTGACAGGCAATTGGATGCAATTCATCCAACTTTGTCTGATGTTCCTTCATTGGATGGTGAATCTAGAAACGAAGAAAGTAAGGTTCTGCGTGATGATATTTCCACTACTCTCAGTCATCCTGTTCAGTTCAAGCACCCCACTCATCTTGTGACACCTTCTGAGATTTTGATGGCCAATTCTTCATCAGAAGTTAACCACATTAATGAGCAGAAAAGCGAGGGTGAATTAAATATTCAAGATGTAGTAATCAACACTGACGGGCGAAATGTCGAAGTGGAGGTTAAGGTTGTGGGTGAAACTAGATTTAGTCAGAATAGTGATATTGGTTCTCATGAAGAACTTCACAATTTTGTATCAGAAAACAAGGAGAAGTCATTTTACTCTCAAGCCTCTGATCTTGGAATAGAGATGGCTCGAGAATGTCGTGCCTTGTCTCCTGAAACTTATATTGTGGAGGAAACTAGACAATTTGACGCTGCTAGTGGAAGTGAGACCCCAGCTCAACCTTCAACTACTGAAGAGGAAGCCCGTGACTCTGCAAAGGATGTATCTGGAAAGATTGCCGATTCGGCTATTCCTGCACCTGTTCAACAGACGACAGCATCAAATTCAAAAGGAAAAAAACAAAAGGGGAAGAACAATCAAGGATCTGGCCTATCGTCCCCATCACCCTTCAATTCCACTGATTCTTCCAATGAAGCCGGTGCAAGTTCAACTATTCCCTCTGTAGAAACTGTATATTCGCAAATTCAGGCAATGCAAGAGTCGATAAATCAGGTGATTCCTTACACGGTTCTATGTAATATTTCATGGATTTAGCTTAGCTTGGCATGTAGTCAGTGCCTAATCCTATTTTATATGGTGATTTTTTGTTGGAACTGGTTTTCTTACTTGTTCATTCATATTGGAGGCTGGTTCCAGTGTCGTGATTAATGCTTTTATACAGTTGATTGTCTAGCACCCTATTTACCTCAACTGCTACTAAGTTTTGGTTGAATCTCCAGTAAGTAGCATGAGTATGGCTCTTTGTGCCTTTGAACAATGCTCACTTCTTAATGTTGCTTGAGCTAGTAGCATAACTTTTTTCTTGGACAAGTGTCTCTAATTCATCATGGTGACATGCAGGCTAATCAACACAAGTACCATAAATGAATGAACTCAAGTACTTGGAAACCTTTTTAACATGGTAGTGCTGCATCTTAGATACTATTTTACGATATCCTGCCATCTGAAGTATTATGGTCCCCTAACTTAAATGTGCTGTACTCGTGCCTTTAAACCTTACTGAGGGTGATAGAGATATTATTCCTGGTATAAATGTTTCAAGAATTAGTTCAGCTGGTTCGCCATGAATTTTTAAGTCTAGAGCTTGGTTCAGCACTTTTTGCCTTTGTATCAGCAAATCTTTCAAGATACAGAAATGTAATTTTTTGAATGTTACTTTTTTATCAATTTGTTGATGTATGTTTTTTGTTTGCTCTCGAACCTTACAAGAAGAAATGGGAGGCGCAACCTAGTTACCAAGGTTTTTACCTTCTGATTTTCTTATGGGTCAGCTTAGAAAAATCACATTACATTGTGCTTTTTTTTTTTCTTTTTTAAGAGGGACTGCGGTTTCAAGATTTTTTTTTTCGCTGCCGGAATTTTCTAGAGTGAGTCAACATTCCTTGACCAGACTACTAGCCCAACCAAATAAAGGATTTGCGCTTTGTTACCAACATGCTTGGTTTGTAGTTCTCCTATTTATTTCCTTCCTGCCATCTCTTGCAGCTCATGAGTATGCAGAAAGATGTGCAAAAGCAGATGAATATGATGGTTGCTGTCCCTGTTACCAAAGAGGGCAGAAGACTTGAGGCAGCCTTGGGGAAAAACACAGAGAAAGCTGTCAAGGCCAATGCCGATGCACTCTGGGCTCGTCTTCAAGAAGAGAATGCAAAACAAGAAAAGTCATCACGTGACCGCACACAGCAAATTGCAAATCTGATTACTAGTTGTTTGAACAAGGACTTGCCAGCTATGGTGGAGAGGGCTGTTAAAAAGGAATTAGGTGCTGTTGGTCAAGCTGTAGGAAGGACAATTACTCCCAGTATTGAGAAAGCAGTATCTACTGCTATTACAGAAGCTTTCCAGGTCAATATTCTTAAGATTTAAGCCACCGGTTGGATGTGCTTTTACTATTATCTAACTGCTTCTCTGTGACACAGAAAGGAGTTGCTGATAAAGCAGTTAATCAACTCGAGAAGTCAGTCAATTCTAAACTAGAAGCTACTGTTGCTCGGCAAATCCAGACACAATTTCAGACTTCTGGAAAGCAAGCTCTCCAAGTGAGTCAGAGAAATTCAAATCATTCTGCCATATCGTCTATGTTATTTCCAATTCGTGTTTTAGTCAACTGGAAATTATGAAAACATATATTTAGTGGAAGAATGAAGATTGGCTGAAGTTCTTTCTGGATGATCTGAGTTTTTTTTTTTTGAACTTGTGACTAAGTCAGGTTTGCATGTAAGGCTTTTATTGTGTTGCAGATTCTTTCTAAATGTTCTTATACAGCATACAGTTAGGTGTAGGTGTGTTTCTATTGTCAGTAATAGTTAAATATTAATGCGACAATTAAGTTATACATTCATGCTTATGTGTATTCATCTATGTGCTTTAACTTGTTGATTGTCCAGACACGTCATTCGCATGAACTGCTTTTCTTCAACTTGTCATGGTTAGAGAGTTTAAAATTTCAATATTGTTCTAGGTTGTAGTTGTTGAAGAAGATGTGTTGATATCTTTCAGGCTATCTCGTCCTGAACTCATTTGTTCTAAGAGTGAAAATTGGTGTTGCAGGAAACTCTCAAATCGAGTTTGGAAGCTTCAGTTATCCCAGCCTTTGAGATGTCTTGCAGGTCCATGTTTGAACAAGTTGATGCTACATTCCAAAAAGGAATGGGTGAGCATGCAACTGCAGCATTGCAACAATTTGATTCATCACATTCTCCATTGGCACTTGCTTTAAGGGTATGGAGTTTAAGCATGTCTGTCCATCATATGTTTTGTTCCATAACAAAGCTATCTTGTCAACAGGATCTTTCTGATTGAACTGTAATATTTACAGGATGCTATTAGTTCAGCATCATCAATGACTCAAACTCTGAGCAGTGAGTTGGCTGATGGTCACAGAAAGTTGTTAGCTCTCGCTGTTGCGGGAGCAAATTCAAAAGTTACCAATCCACTTGTTAGTCAGCTCAGCAATGGTCCATTGGCTGGTCTACATGAAAAGGTTTGTCCGCTCATGTTTATCTTTAGGTCTTCTCAAGGCCACTTGAAGTTTTTTCTTCTCATCTTAGCTGCGTATTCCTAATCCATCCTTTTTCATTTTGGCCCTGTGTGGTCTTAAATAGCTTGAGGCACCGTTGGATCCTACTAAAGAGCTTTCTAGGCTTATAACTGAACGTAAATATGAGGAGGCTTTCACTGCAGCCCTGCAGAGAAGTGATGTTTTTATTGTTTCGTGGCTGTGCTCCCAGGTATGCTGTTTGTCTCACCTAGTTAGGATAAAGAGTAAATGATGTATAAATTAAAAAGCTATCCTCGTTCCAAGTGCCTAGGGACGATTACTGTGAGTTACTGAAAGCATAGTTGCCTGATTTACCTTCGCTTAAGGTAGCATAAATGCATGGGCACAATTGCTCTTGCATAGCTGGGTGTTTCATGAGATTTCACTTTTTGTTTTTCTGGTAGTCCTGTTTTAAGTGTCCTAGTCAAGGGAAGTCCAGTTTACTTCATAACTTAAAGAGAGAATCTCATTCTGCTTGGGGTCTGTTTTATTCCGCTTGTATTGTAATTTTATCCTCCATTCTACTTGTATTTGCGTTTTTACCCTCCGTCAAGGAAGATGATATTCTTAGTACTATTTTGGCCTCAACGTTCCTTTTTCTTGGGTTTTCGGTCATTGCTGTTAATGTATTTTTGTACTCATCTTGGTTGTCTATATGGTTGATCTACTTGCGATGTTCATAAACCATCTTTAGCTACTTTTGCTTGTGTTCCCATTAAGTTTTCCTTTGATATTTTGTGTGTTCACCAGGTTGACTTGCAGGGGATCTTGTCCATGAATCCTCTACCCTTGAGCCAAGGGGTTCTCCTTTCTCTTTTACAGCAGTTATCATGTGATGTCAGCAAGGAGACGCCAAGAAAATTGTCCTGGATGAGGGATATATTATCTGCGATAAATCCTACTGACCAAGTGATTGCAGTTCATGTGCGTCCTATCTTTGAGCAGGTTTACCAAATATTAAACCATCATCGCAGCCTTCCATCAACTTCAGGTGCTGATCTTTCCGGTATCCGTCTAATCATGCATGTCATCAACTCCATGCTGATGACCTGTAAATGATACCCGAAGTATCGCCATAATAATGTGGACATAAGGTCGAAGGAGAAGGATTTGTACAAAGTTTTAGGGACTGTTATGGAAAGGGATCTGGTTATGTAGAGTAAAGTACAATTCCTTTATTATCCATTCCCCCCCCCCTCCCCCCGGCTCTTCCTATTTTTCTTGTATCGTCTTGCATATGAAAACGTTAAAATTTGTGCAGTAATCACTGTGGTTCTCGAGTTCTGTTGAGTCTTTGGTTGAAAGGTCTGTGGATATGAGGTTTTGTATCTATAGAAATACCAGCATCTCATCTGCAACAAATTCTAAATGAGGGATTTATTTTTTCTGTTTAATACAATAATTGGAAACTTTTCTTTCTTTTTTTTTTTTTGCTCCCTTTTTTAGGGTTTTTTTCCCTCAATGGGCCTATAGATTCTGTGGAAGTAATTCGTTCACTTGTACGATGCCCCTTCCTTCTCTTTCCACTGGCCGTTCCTACTTCTACTCTAATTCAAAGCTGTATGTAGGTGCTGTTGAATCCATCTTTGTTGGGGATTGAGGCGAAGTTTCGTGTCTGCCAAATCATAGGTATTCAAATGTCTGCGAAGTTATTTGCTCTGATTAGTAATATTTATAGTTTGAGCGGTGTGCGTAGAAAAGAGTGATGATTTCTTGATAGCGTTGATTGACCGGAATGTGTGTGAAAATTCGAAATGGACGTTTCTTCAATCCTTTCATGATCCGGAGCTTTGCATTCTCTGCGTGAATTACAACCTTCCCCGTATGAATCCTTTCCCTTCCCCAAGTGTCTGTCAGAATATGGTGCTAATTGATTTTTCCTCTGGGATAGAGCTGTCCGTCCATTCAAAGTTTTGACTTCCTCTTGAGGGAGTTTGATCGTTGACGAGTTTCTTCCAGGCTATATGGTTGATTGTCTTCTGTCTTTACAAGGATCCATCAATCTTGGCGTCCACAAAGGTCGTCTTCTTCTTTCCTTTCTTTATTTATTCGCACTTGTAGGAAAAAATCGATTGGATAATTTGTATTTATCAAAACTTGGACCGAATATTACTATGGACACCAAATACTCCCTCTATCCTATTTTATATGTCTTGGTTTCTATTTTAGTTTATTTCAAAATATTTGTTATAATTTAAAATAAAAATAAATGAAATCCAACTTTTCTAATATACCCTTACTACAATTTTCAAGGAAAAGCATTTAAGTCATCTTCTTTTAATAAATCAGACGACAAATTATTTTTGTTTTTAGGTAGTTATGCCTTCTTTAAAATTCCAAGCCCAACCAACAAAACGTTGAAATTTAATTGAGGGGTAATAATGTTAAAACATTCTTTTTGATAGCTTATGTGTCTTTTTTTTTTTTTTTAATGCCAAATGATAACATTTTCATATATAACGAAAGCTGTTACAAAATTGGAGTAACTGCTCTTACTACATCTTTTCCAGCTAATCTAACTAACCAGAGAGGGAAGGAATCCTTCCACTTAATTTCACTAATCAAGTGTATGGCATACTTTGCCAGCTTGTAACTAACATGATGGTTGCCTTCCCTTTTAATAAAAGAGAAGTTACACTCACTAAACTCTTTCCTAATCACAAAGACTGATATCTTGTAGAATTGATCCTATTTTGGGGTCATTAGTGTTGCCTTCTAACCTTGCTTTGACAAGTGCGTGCATTTGATTTTTCTATCAATGAATGGTTCACTGATTCTCTTTGTTCAGGACCTACCCAAGCTCTTATCAGGGCTCCTCCATTAGCTTCTCTAGCAACAATTCCCTAGCCTTTCCTTGTATCTACCGTTGCATCAGTATTGAGCTTGATTGTACCTTCGTGCGGTGGTAGCCATTTCTTCTCGCCTCATGAGTTTACCTCCATTTCTTCTTCTTCTTCATCTGCTTTCTCCCTCTGTACATTCTGATATTCGATCCACGTCCGCACAGCCCCCTTAATTGTGTGGACACTTTTTTTTTCCCATTGAACTGTATCTAATTTCTCAACTTCCAAATCTACCATAATCTGTTTACAGTTAGTATAATATGATCTTTCCTTTCCGCTCTATCTTTGGCTTTCATGATACTACCCACTTAATTGGGGCGACTTTCCATATCATCTCAGGATTTCTACAAAAGAACATCATATATGTTCAATTGTTTCTGTACCTTCTCCACAACACCTCGTTCACTGGGATTATTCTATGCAAACACTTCCCTATGAAATGTTTGAGCTTCTGCTTCAATATTTAGACTCCACAGAAACTTGCAAGCTCCAGAATTCTGCTCATTTCTGCAACTATGAACTACTTCCTTTTGCTGTGTCCTTTCCTTTTTTCCCTGTTGGATTTCCTTTGCAACCATGTATCCGGTTTTAACAGTATACACTCTTGTAGCTGAGAATGACCATACTAACCTGTTTTTCCATTATGAATGCCGATTGGGGTACTGATGATACGCTTGCAATCTTCCTCACTGAACACAGCACTTATCATATCCACTTTCCACTTTCCATCTTGTATTAATTTATTTATGTACCTTCTACAGTTGACATTTTGGTAGCTTCAAAGTAGATATCTTCCCTTTTCCCCTATTCATTATCCGTCTGTGCTTCCAAATGTTAATACTATGTCCATTTCCCATCCTTATGTGTCTTGGTTACATTTTATTTTTTTTAAAATTATGTGTAAAATTGACCATGACATATAAAATGAGATGGAGGGAATAGTATTTATTACTACTTATTAGTACCACAAGACCGCCTTTTTTCCTACTCGCACACGCTGTTCTTAATTTAGAAAAAAAGATTCCCAAAATAAAAAAATATACACTACTATAAAAAGAATAAGAACAAAAGTAAAGGATAGAATGCTTAAAGGCCAAAAAAAAAAAAAGAAAAAAAAAGAAGAGAGATAGATAGTGGATTTCAAATGTTAAAATTTTGAAAAGATGAGATTAATTAGAAAAATTATATAAACGAAGGATAGTAATTATTATAGTGTGTATATTCAGAGCAGGTTATATGCAATTTAATAGTTAATGAGTTAAAAAAACACCTCCTAGAAAAAAAAGACAAAAGAAAGAAAAGAGGACCAAGAGAATCTAGTATTTACTGATTTAATCATTTTCACATAATCCCTCGTTAAAAATGGTGGAGGGTATTACAAAAGAAAAGAAAAAGTATATCTAGGATAAATGAAGCACGAGGATAGAATTTACACGGCACGACGTTGCCGGCTAAAAGCAAAACCCCCAATCCCGGACTGGCCAGTCGCCATTTCACATATACGATATATGCATCCCGGTTGTAATATGCATCCGTGGGTCCATTGCCGGCGAAAATGTGGGTCCCCCCACGTCTAAGCTCTCGAAACGCCAAAAAAAAATTTTGAAGCTTTACCAGCATTGATCCGTTTCCCACCTCCGGGTCGTATAAAACCCGGCATGCCTCCGAAACCCACCCGGCGCCGAGTAATTAACCCCCAGCGGTTGTGGTTGGCTCCCAATAGTCAAGGTCAAGTCATAAACCGCCCTCGAATCCGGATCAGACAGCGTCGAATAAGCCTTGTGAATTTCAATGAAATCGCATCCGTCCAAGGACTCCTCCGGGTGCTTAGCAGCGACGGCGGCGACGTCCGGGTGATAAATCTTGGCTAGTGTCCTGTACGCCGTCTTGATCTCTACTTGAGACGCGTTCTGCTTCACTCTTAGCACCCGATAGAGATTTCCGGGCTTTGTCCTAGTCTCCACCGCCGGCGGTGATGCCTCGGATACAGCTGCGCAAATCGTAATCCTATTTACAGCAAAGGACATGTTCCTTTTCCTGCGAGATTTGGGAAATTTGCTGGTGAGAATTTGACAGAGAGATTCCAGAAGCCAAAGAAAAACTTTAGGGTTCCGACCGTTCAAATAATTGAGATGATGTGTTGGCAATTTGAGATGGGATATGGATTACGGAGTAGACATATATATAGAGGTCAAGGGGGACGATAGGGGGAGAGAAGGGGAGTGTTTTGGAAATGAAGAAACCGAGAGAGAGAGAGAGAGTGTGTAGTGGGCCCCAGTGATGATGCCGTGGGCTCTCTCTCTCATATTTCCCAGCGGCTGCCGGTGCGGTGCTGCTGTCTGTTTTGGGCTCAGCTGCTGACATGGCTCCAACGGATTTTAGAGGACTGCTCATTTCTCTCGTCGGCTTGGTTTATCGAAGCCGCCGACTGCTTTAGTTGTTTAAAAACTTGTTTATTCTTATTCTTTTTGGATTTTGTTTCTAATAAATCTAAACCACTACTGTTTCTTTCTTTTTTCTTTCGATTCTTTCCTCTATTAACCAAAATTTACTTCGCTATTCGAAAAAAATAAAAAGAGAGAGAGAGAGAGAGGAGAATAAAAAGAAAAAGAAGTCTAAGTATAGCAATACCTGGAGTAGTTTTTTTATCATCAAAAGTCAACTTCTATATATATAGCAATACCTTAGTTAATCGACATGAAAATATATGCAAGTAAGTACAGTAGAAATAAATAAGCGCCCTCAGGGGCTTGGTCTGGTGGTTGAGGTTGTTGAAGATGGGGCTTCAGGTCCCTGGTTCGAACCTTGCTGCCAGCAAGTTGTTGAGGGTGGTGAATAGTCTGCGGGGTCCACTCCCTGCGGGACACACCTTAAAAAAAAAAAAAAAAAAAAAAAAAAAAGCAACAAAATGACAGGGTTGACCAGACTCCAATGGCCAATGGGCTATTCGGCTCAAAATCAGCCCACAGATAGGATAGGGATCAAAAGGAGTCTTCGGCGGCGCCAGCGGTATATCAAGTGTAGTATGGCGAGTGTCGTTTGGCACGTGCCAGAGCTTCTAGACACTTTGCAAAGCTGTGGCCCGCAGAAGGCGTGTGTTCGAACTCTCTCGCCAGAAAATAACCTTCCTCTTTACCAAATTAATTACAGGTTGAACCTTGACCTCCTTTTGAATTGTGAGTTTTCTTTTCCCATCGCTTGCCATAAATCACAATATACTCTTTTTTTTTTAATAAAAAATTTAAAAATTACAACCCAAATAATGTCAAAAATAATGCTGCAGGAACTCGAATTCATGTTTAAAGACAAATAATTGATTTTGACTTTCTTGATGTCCCAGAAGCAAATCTCTTTGTTCTGGTCCTTCTGATTTCTTTTTTTAAAAAAAAAAAAATATTTGATGTTATTTGCAATTTAGAGGATTATATGCTGAAAATATGAGTGATTTCTTCTGATTTCTTTCTTGATTTCCCGGCTAAATGTTTGGAGACAATCACATAGGAGCAAATTTTATTACATATAATCACAAAAAATAAATAAAACAAAGATATTTCTACGTGGAAAAGCTAGA